TCACATTAATATCTATACTAAGTAGACTAACTATATCAGATTAATAATTGAAAAGAAATCAAAATGAGAATATTTTCAAACTAAACAAAAAACAGTTTATTTTATCGTTTCTTAAAATCCTAATACATATTACTTTTTTTTACTCATATCTAATATTGCAAACTAGAAGTATCTGCTGAATAGCAAAGAAATCGATGTATTTTATACAAAACAATAAAACTAAAGCTAAAAAACACGTATTTTAGTACTTAATGACGACTTTGATATACCGATTAAGTTATAAGAACTCTTCACACGTCAAAGTTTTGATTTTAAAATAAGATGTATCATTTGAAATCCGATAGAAAACTATGCTAAAATCCTAATTTTTAGTGTTCTGCAAAATCTCTCTCAAGAGTACCCTTGTATTTTATTTCATAACATGTGGCACTAGAACAGAATGAAAAAATTGATAACATCACATCAAAAGTACTTATTATGATCGGTTGGAAACACCTCCTTCGTGTAACAATACAATATTTACTGAATATCAAAAGTCACACTCTAACTTACACAATCAAATATTGATGAGATATGTGGGTGCTATCAATATGTGTTATCGACACTAACCCACTCACCCTTTCTACGAAGATTTATTCAAACAAGAAATTGAAAAAATCTTTTAGATATCAATTAAATATTTTTGAACTCGATGATTGTTAGAATCAACAACATAAAGATTTCCTTCAATATCAAAGGATAAACCACTGGGTTCAGACAATTGATTTGATTCAGCTCCTTGTTCATTTCCACCAACAACAATTTCACCTTCTTCTTTTTCTTCACACCAACGCATTACTCGATTATTTCCCCTATCTGCCACATAGATTAGGCCTAAATGATCAACAATCACTCCTTCAGGATTAGACAATTGATTGAGACTGCTTCCTTTATCATTCCCACCAGCAACAACAATTCCTTCTTTTGCATCTTTTCTCCATTTCATCACACGATGATTGGAAAAGTCTGATATATAAAGAGAAGAATCTTCATCAATAAAGATATAAGTAGGATAATAAAGTTGATTAAGTTGATTTCCATTTCCATTGCCACCAGCAACTATCCTTCCATATTGTTCTCCTTCTTTCCATTGTCTCACTTCTCCCTTGATAAAATCAGAAACATAAATGAATCCATTTTTATCTATTGCCAGACCAAAACAAGCAATATCAGAAATAAGAACTTGTGATTTTATTTGATCTTGGTAAAACCATCGAATCACTCGCCTGTTCCCTCGATCACAAATAATCAAAGAATTACTTTGTTTGTCAAAAATCACATTTGTTGGGGATTTAAACTGTTCATTTCCATTTCCATCTGCAATGATCTGACCATTCTTCGAATTAAAGTTCCATGCAACTATACGATGATTGTAATAATCAGCAATATAAATTGTTTTCTCATCATCAATAAAGAGTCCTGTAGGAAGAAAAATTTGATTTAATTCGCTTCCATATCCATTTCCTCCAGCAACAGTCATTCCATTTTGTTCCCATTTAGAATTGATCATATCTAAAACAGATGAAATTTATAGTTACAAATATGTTGAGAGTGTGCATAAGAATGTTGCATCTATCATCCACCGATCCACTTACTTTCTTTTGGTGGACAGATACGTTGATCAGCCATTGCAACTGGATAACAAAGAGGACGGTCATCACATTGAGGATGATGAACACAGATCTTATCAGATTCAAGACATGAATTGTCTGAAGAATTACATGGTACAAGACGAGAACATGTGGGCCACAGAAAGCCACAAACACCTATATCATCATTAACACCCATCATATGAAAACATCCACAAGCAATATTTGTCGAACATTCACCATACTGAGCTGTTCTCTCACATACTTCAGATTTGATCTGAACTATAAAAGTGATAAACTAATGCATATAAACATATAGAATAGAATAGAAATCAAACCTATTATACTAAAATATAAAATCAATCAATGTTAACAAAATTAATGATAAAAATCAATAACTATTTACCTGAGAATAATCAAAACAATATAGCAATAAATGTTGATTGTAGTCATAGTTGATTTTAGAATAATACAATATCATGAAAAAATGTATATTTTGATTTCTAAAACATAGATAATATCTTAAGTCAGCTTAATCGAAATATAAACGAGGCATTTATTCACATATCAATAGTTGGAAATTTGATATTCCTTTCATTGTTTTTAATCATGTTCTGATATTACCCTTTAGCAAATACAATAAAAATGTAATTAAAAAATATTGTTTTTTATTCAGTTTAAATATGAAGGATATCAATAACATTGGGCGTGCACAGTTTTGAGACCCGCATTCATCAATTATAAAATTTTCTTTTCTTTGCTAAAATAAAATGGATGTTTATCAACAATAGTTATTTTTAAATTATAATTTCATATACGATTTTCATTTATAAGTAAAAATTTAGTATTTACTGGATATAGCACGAAGAGTTAGAAAAAAGTAAATTTGAATGAAAAGAGTTATTTGTAATTCTATGTGACATGAGCAATATCTTCACCAAAATCTCTATGAACTATCTGAAATGTGAGTATGAGTGCCATGTTCATTTCAACTACACCTATCTTAATATCTGAAGGTCTAAGTAAAAAGCTTTTGTCGTACACCATCTGTATCCACAACAAATTATCGAAATTCATTTCATTTAAGATATTTGATGTTTTTAAACTATGAGTATAGTGTTTTTTATTACCGTTGAAAGATCTTCTTATGTATCATTTAACATGCATTTGAGTAATAATATCCTCTTGTAACTTGCGGTTATTAACGACACAAGTAAAGAAGAATATAACAGGATCAATACAATTGGAAATTCGAATGAAATCTCAGAAAGAAATGCCTTCTGCTTTATATATAAAGATCATTTATTTCAGTAGCGTTATAACAAAAACATAGCACAGAGATGTATGAATCTTGTACGATCTAAATAGCTGACAGAATCAGATAAAAAAACTGAATGGCAAAATCAGTCATAAATCTCAATCTGTCTAATAAGCCATATTGTATATAATCAGTTATATTTCTGCAAAACTATACTAAAGATGTATTATGAAAATTCATATGATACTCTTCTATTCAGGGTATTATTTTTTCGTGTAATAAATATGGTTTGTTCTCGATTAAATTAAGATAATTAATTTAAAATTAGATACTATTTCCAAACGATTAGCATTAAAAAATAAACAAACAACTCACGATCGTTTCAGTTTTAATATATTAATTAATGAAATAAAAAAATAAGAATTTTCTATGGTTTTTTCTCATTATATCGATTATTCAGTGTTTAGAATTACTTGATTATCTTAGTTTACCAATTATACGTGCTGATGGTGAAGCAGAAAAATTATGTGCACAACTAAACTAAATGAATATAAGAAGAAAAGAAAAATAAATTCTTTCTATTCGTTTTTTTTTTATATATAATTAAGATTGTCGATGTTGTTATTATAAATGATAGTGATTACTTTGCATATGGTGCTAAGACGATTATTCGAAATTCTGATATTGATATAAAGGTAAATAGAAATGATTAAATAATGTTTTAAGAACTATATATATATTTTTTGTTAGTCAATTTCATTTGATATTTATGATCGAAATGAAATTCAATCAGCATGTTATCTAAATCAACGTTCGTTATTAACACTTGCATTAATTCTCGGTTCGGATTATGACAGGCAAGATATACACACTATTAATCTTAAAAATGCACTGAAATTTCTTCAACTAACATCAACAAATGTTGATCCTGTTAGTTATTTATGTACAATTTTAATATGTAGCAATCCACAAAATAAATAATACGAAACATTTAAAAGATTTTGATATATACCATTTTATATCGCTGAAATCATCATAAAAACAACATTCATTATAGTTTTTATCATGTCTCTATCATTAAAAGTGACATCATTACTTTTTATTTTTTTCTTCAAACAAGTAATTAAAACATCATGCGAAATGTATGATGCATGACGAATATGTATATATTCATTTTATATGAAGGAAAAAACGATACATTATACACTCAACATATAGAGCGACACAGCACGTACTTCATCAAGAGTCTACAATGGTAAATCAAACTGCCGTCACCTTCATTACGTTACCGGTAGAACTTGTCTACCGAATTCTGGATCATCAATCCGATTTCACATTGCTATGTTCAATGAGAAATGTATGTCAACGACTCAATAGGATCGTAGATAGTTATGAGAGATATCAGGTAAGTCTTTTTCTATCATGATAATTTAATTTTTATCTATTGACTCCAATAAAACATACGTGAATAAAATATTTGCCACTCAAAATAATTCAACAGTTATCACTCTCTCTCCAAACATTCATTTCTTATGTTATGACAATATGAAAATAGTATCTTGACAATCACAAAAAATAATTTCCTTTTAATATTTTACGTTTCAAACTAGATATGATGCCATAATCATACAGTGTTTAGATAGGTATGAAAAAAAGGGATAAAACATTATTATTTGCTTTTTTGCGTGTATCTAAGCATCTTTCTTAAATATCATTTCGAAATTAAAAATCAACTTTTGAAAAAAAGTTAACCATGGATAAACTAGTTTATCTTGTTATAAATAAAATCCTCAGTATTTTCATAAGAAAAATATCTCTGACGAATATTCCTTCAAGAGCATTTGCGACTGCAGGCGCTAGTGATAGCAGATGTGGGCGAAGAGAAGATTAACTCATAAAAATATTCACATTCTCATCCATTCACATAACTCACACCCACTTCACTGCGTTAACCCCATGTAACACCGAACAACTACTCTCCCACTTCATTTGTACCGTATCTTAACCTTCGCTTTCTATACAGGCACTCACCACACTAGATCTCTCGGACCATCAAATCGGATATATTGGAGCACAATCCTTGGCCGATGCATTACGGCACAACACAGTAACTCTGATTCTCTCTTTATTTATATCATATCGTTAACTCCGCTTTTCCTCTAGACACTCACAAGATTAGATCTCTCGTTCAATCGAATAAAAGATGTTGGAACACAACATTTGGCTGATGGATTAAAACACAACACAGTAACTCTGATTCTCTTTTATCTATATCATGTCTTTACCTCTACTTTTTCATATAGACACTCACAAGTCTAGATCTCAGGCATAATGAAATCGGATATGTTGGAGCACAATCTTTAGGTGATGCATTACAATACAATACAGTAACTCTGATTCTCTCCTTATTTATATCATATCTTTAACTCCGTTTTTCCACTAGACAGTCACAACATTAAATCTCTCGGACAATAAAATCAAATGGTTTGGAGCACAAGCTTTGGGTAATGCATTACGATACAATACAGTAATTGTCATTCCTCTATCTATGTCGTGTCTTTACCTCTACTTTTTGATCTAGACACTCACCACACTAATTCTCTCGGTCAATCATATCGGAGATAATGACGCACAGTCTTTTGGTGATGCATTACAACACAACGCAGTAACTCATATTCTCTCTTTATCTATATCACATCTTAAGCTTCACCTTTCATCTAGACACTCACAACATTAAATCTTTCGCAGAATCAAATCGAAAATGTCGGAGCTCAATCCTTGGCTGATGCATTACAACACAACACAGTAACTCGCATCGTTCTTCTCGCTATGCCGTGTCTTTACCTCTACGTTTTCATCTAGTCACTCACTACATTAGATCTCGGATTTAATGAAATCGGAGATGTTGGAGCACAATCTTTGGCTAGTGCATTACAGCACAACACAGTAACTCTCACTCTCTCTTTATTTAAATCATGTGTTTACCTCTACTTTTGCATCTAGACACTCACTACACTAAATATCGGATACAATCGAATCGGAAATGATGGAGCACAGTCTTTTGCTGTTGCATTACAATACAACACAGTACGTCTGATTCTTACTTTATCTATATCATGTTTTAAGCTCGACTTTTTCATCTAGACACTCACCATGCTTGATCTATTGGATAATGGAATCGAGTATAATTTGGTGAATAGAATCGATGAATTACTTGGAAGGAATTAAAGAGAAAGAAAACTGAATAGCAATATTAAATGTGTTTAGATGATGGAAGAACCGTGGCTGTTAGTAATGTTAGTATTTTTTTGTGCTATAATTTTGACAGATACAAAATAAAATTGCTTGTTTTCAAACTCAATCTGTGTTTTGATGATAATAGTTGATTAACATTTTAATATTTGGGGACTGCGCAGCGTACACAAAATAAAGCTGAGCTTTTCTATAATAACATTGAATCTCTCAAAGGTTGTTTTCAATAGAGCTGCGACAGAAAAGGTTTTGTATGGTATTCGTAGAATTCTGAAAGATCGTTGTGGGTAATGACGAACGATAAAAGATTCCCCGTTACAATGGGTAAAACCCTGCAATGTTCTTTTCAGTGATGTTGGAGCAAATGGTTCTGACCAATGATTTTGAGCAAGAAAAGTTTTTCCCTAATAAAGCGGAACCATCAAATGTATAGTATCGAATAGTGCTGTACTCAGTAGAATTCTGTTTTCAATACTATTGAACCAACTGAGATTGTTTCAGTTTTACATTATTTCTCAAAACTTTGTAGCTGAATCATGAAGAATTTATTCAGTAATACAAAATGATTCAATGCAGAACAATCTTGTAACTACGAAAACTGTCTTATCGACGTGGTTTTGTATGTATTAGTTTTTTACGTAGTTGGATATAGTTTAACATGTATTGAAAGTATATTTTTTTGGAAGTGTTATATGAAATCTTATGATATTGTTGAGATAGATTTGTAGCATACCAATGAAAGAAAAGCTGATAGTTCGTTTGCTGTACATAGAATGATCATGTGGAGAATTGTTGAAACGAAAATGACAATGAACAGGATGTGGGTGAGGGTGTGACTGTTAGAAATGACACATATCTTTACCCTCAAGGATCCTTTATATCTTCAGATGAGAACGTCCGAAGAAAGAAAAAATTTGGATTTAAGCATAATTTTTTACAATCTATCGAATGGTATGCCTTAATACAAAACCAAAGTTTAGACGTATGTAGGTTTGGTCGATAGTCTCATGGACCCTATTCTTACCTATTAAAAGGTTATTTCAATAGAAATAAAATTATTTTTAAATGGAATTTTTTCAACAAAATCAATATTTACTGTAGATCTCCATACGAATACTTACTGATTCTAGCCAGTTAGCATTTATTTCTCTTTATGAGCCATAACAGACTCCGTATTATGAATAATATCATGCGCATTATCACTAATATGAAGAATATTTAAAAAATTGAAATGATAATAAATAATTATGAAATACTTATATAAAAAGATCGATATTAAATAGCGGTTAATATTATTAAGTCATGTCAATGCATCAAAAGCTACTCGATAAATTCTAGTGGAATTAGACAAAAGAATACAAATCGTACAATAATTAAATTTATTCTTTCACAAATTCTTCATAAATTGTAGAATTGAATATTTTCATTGATATGAATATAGAGTGTATTAAAGTTTAATTGAATAGTTTATGCTAATCATCTATTTTTTATGTTTAGTCAAGATAGCAGTCGTTACAAACGATCATGCCATGGGCATACTCATAGTCTTATAAGAATAATCTATAATTCTTATATAAATCTATAGCAAAATAAATCTTTTATTATATTTTATTTTTGACATATTTATATAACATTTGACAACTTAATATGATTTTTCAATTCTATTTTTATTAGTATATTTTTTTTGCAAGATGAAACCTTATGCTTTATATAAACAGTAATTAGATAGTTATTCTACATAAAGCATATCTTTTGTTTTGGTGTTTAACTAATAGATTTTCATAAGATAAAATTTATTAAGATTAATGATCTCGTTAATTCAAGAAAATTTTTTATTAAAACTAAAAGATCTCATTGAGAAATTTACACATACTAAACTAATCATTTTTCATATATATTAATAATAATCGAATAAAGATCTATTTTCAATTATTCATATAATTAATCAGATATTCTATACTATATTAATAAAAGTTTTCTCTAATTCTAGATATATTTACATCTCTTAACACATGTCATTTCTATTATAGACTAGTATTTCTTTAGCATCTGTCTACTATTTTCTAGTTTACAATGAAACTATTTCAATAGCTATAACAAAAAAATAAATTCAAATAGAAAAGTTCTGTGAAGTAACACGTTGAGAAGTAGATGTCACTTTTTTCATAGCCATTTGATTAAAAATAGCATCAATAATTATACATTACGGATGTAAACAAAATAGAACGTCTTTATACTACGTGAATCCAAGATCATTGAGTACAGGAATAATAAATCATACTTTCAATTCATTCATTAAGAAAACAACTCTAATTGCACTTTTATTGTTGAAAGTAAAAGCATAATTCACAATTTTTTATCTATGTAGATTTTATTTTTCAAACACAAGCTTGATTAAACAAGGAGAAAAAAGAGAGATTAAGTAACAAATCAGTATGAATTCGTTTATAATACAAAATCTTGAGATTGTTGAATATTTTTTAAAGATCAACAGATCGAGCACGACCACAGAGTAAATAAACAATCAAACCTATAAAAAAAAATAAAAGATTCTGTATATGTAATTAATGTTTAATTAGTATTCTTACCAATGATAGGACAGAAAACGATGAATAAAATCCAGAGAAGTTTTTCTACCATAGATTTGCCTGAGCGAAGAATTTCAACGGCAGCGATAATATCCAAAATAAGAATAATCTTTAAATAGAAAATAAAACAAAAGAAATATTGATTTATTTGAACTTACCAAACCAACAACACCACCAATGGTTGGTCCAACATAATAAGTCTCAGCTGCTGCAAATTTAACACAAGCTAAGAGAAGAATTAATATAGATGAATAATTCATTAATGAAGCCATTTGAAAATTAATCAAATAACAAATATGTAATTATATATTGATATATCTGAAAGTAATAATATACGTATACATGAAAATATCAAATAAGCCTATGCGTTTCTTTTCTTAGGCCGTAGCTGTCGATCATATTATACGAACGTCCTTTCAGTCTCTCCTTCGTCAAGTAGTATAGGGCAAAATAAATTGTTATACTCGATACATATCTCTCTTTTCTCTCTCGATTTCTTCTTTTTCTCTATCTTCTTTCCGTACGCTAAAACGGACGGACATTTCGTGTATATTATTCTCCCCAAATGTTTTCTTCTTGCTAATGAAAGTAATAACTATGATTCATTCACACATTTGTTGCATTTCTAACAATAGAAACACAGCATGTGTGTGTATACTAAAAATATAAAGAAGTACACTATTCTAATGTAAACAATATGCTCTATTTTAAATTATTTGAAAGGATCGATTACAGTAGAAAATAGTTAACAAATGATTCGTCTATTATGAATGATCGATTTCTTGTTTCGATTATTAAAAAAAAGAAAGTCATAATTTAAGTGAAGTTTGGGTGTATTTGCTGTACAGCAACTCAGTAAACAAATGCCTTGTTTTTTTTCTTTAATATGAAAAAACCTAAAGAGAAATTTTTATTTTTCGTTAACCAATAAAAAAAGTACTAACAAATATTATTTGAATAACATAATTTCTTTTCATCTATTATTCATATATACATAACAATTAGTCATCGTCGTCAAGTCAATGTCTGTTTTTTCTCAGACAAAAAAAAAAGACGTAATTAAGGTAAAATATCTCGTTTAATGATCCATGAATAAATCAACTGACGTTCTATACAACTACGCAGTCGACAGATTATTCTCATATATAACTTAATGAATATGTAATAAAAACTTTTTTAATCTATAAAAAGTTTTATATTCCACTTCTATGGAATGTTAACTTGAATTCATTGTGTGTTACAAGATATTTCAATTGATTGTTTAAAATCTATTTAAGTTTTTGTAAAATATATATTTCATTCAATAGATTCTATTATGCTATTTATTCAAATTATACACAAAACAAAAAAATCCATTTCGGATTTTATTACAATATAGAATAAAAGTTTTATTTTTATATTTCTTTTTCTTGTAAATAGTGTATCATTTTCTAATCTTAAACATTATAGTAGAATGTAATATAAGAGAAAAAAAAGAAGGTACAACAAATAGATAGATTCATGTAACAAACTCAACTATTAGTATTCTTTCCATACAGGTACGTATTAATATTTGTATTTAAAATTTATTAACAAGTTCACTTGACCGTAGTATTTTGGTAATATAAAATTTTTTGTTTTAGCCATTTATTAATCAATAATAAAAACTATTTATATCACATAGATAAATAAATAACTTAAAAAAATATTCAGCAATAAATAAAAACTTCAACAGTCTATCAAACTATAAATATTATTGCAATGAAGATTTATGAAATAGAATTACATCAAATACAATATGTAGACAAGCATCTGTTCGATTAAAAGAATAAAAGCAAATAAAACTAGTATAGTGAAAAGGTAATAATAAGAACCTATTGTAATGACTCGTAGACAAAACACTTTTGACAAGATCTAAAATAGACTAATAATTGAAAAAGGTATCCCATCTGTCTTTTGTCATTTTTTTTTTCTTTCGCCTCTCATAATCTCCAATCATTTTTATGGCTAGCTTATTAGATACTTTTTTTTTCTAAGCATTAAATCACCACTTGTCATCTTCAAACACACGTACGTTAATAAAAGCAATTTCTGTCAGAATATTTCTTAGATACAAATACACACGCATCATTATCGTATTTATCTCTTATTAATAGAACTAAGTTAGTCAGCTTTATTTCTCTTGAGATTTATCAAATGATTCATTTTTCAAATTTAATCAATACATCAGCAATGTATTTTAATTGACTTAATCCTTTTTCCTTAAATCATAGATCTCATATGATATTGCATGCAGCAGAAATTAGAATTTATCAATCTTCTTTCACCTCATATTCAATGATGATAAGGTAAGAGATAAGATGCACAATCTGTCATATTCTTGCTAAAAAAAATATTTCTTCTACAAATGATTCTCCATATATCTATCTATTTTTTTCAATGTATACATTATAAAGATTTATTATATAGAAACAACTTGATGATAGAAATGAAATCAATCTTCATAATAAATCTAGCACAAATACTATTTTGTTTAACATAATTTGTCTTTCGACTTTTTGAAAATTAGACAAAAAATATCTAGGCTATATATACACTGTTTCTATTTTTATCTTGATCAAAAAACAGACATTCCAGCATAATTATAACGCTAATGAATGTTTGAAGTATAGAATAACAGCATAGTATGATTAGTTCTTCAGGATGTAAGAAGAAACTTCTATACTTAAAAATTAGGACAAGTATATGTCAGGTGTCGTAGATTTTTATTTTTAGTCTATAAATACAGTATGTATGTAATGATTATAATAAAAAAAAATTACATCTAGGTAAGAAATATGATGCGATTGTTAGGTTTGTTTGTAATGAAATAAAAAATAGAAATAAAATCTGGCTTATGTCATTTTTCGATTCAATTCTATGCGGCTTTTCTTTTTTTGATGTATCAAAACAGTAAGAATGAAATAGTATTTCTTTTCTTCCAGTGCAATAACTTCATTCTATATATTACCTAGAGATTAAGATTAATATTTGAAATATTACACTTTGGCATACATTTATCGTTTAAATTAAGATATATGTAAACATACTCTACTACAAATAGTTGAGTCTTATATTTGACATTATTAGATATATTAAAATATTACGATATAATTAGGCTAATTTCGAATATATGAGGTGAAAAAAACATATTTTTAGGATATATTTACTCATGGAGAAAAGAAATAATGTAAGTCTATAGAAATGAACTGCGCAACTCTCTATTAATATAATCTTATGACTTTTTTTAGATAGTTAAAACTGAAAATATATATAATATTTCTATTTCACATCCTAAAGAAACGACAAGTTTATTAGAGTATAACGTTTGTCATGGGCGGACACTATTTTTGAATATAGTCTCATGACTAAACTAATTTATTTTGTCTAGAGAAACTGACTGTGAGAAATATATAATTACTAAAAAAAAGAAGTAAGTTAAATATTTGTACTATAGATAACAATAATGTCATGAACGTCTTCGAGTTTAACCGGTTTAAAAAATTATCAAATTAAGTTAATGAAAATTTTTTATTGACGTAGTTTTTCCCGACTTGTTTAAGGCATTGTTTTTCAATATATTACTTATTCTCATAATCAACTACATATCAAAGATTTCTTCGTATGCTGTAAGTAAATATACTATCAACAATAAAAAATTATTAATTTTACTAACTCTTTCTAGTAGTTGCATAGGTAGTGATATCTTTTTGGATTGTATTTCTATATGAGCCGTTGTCTCAACATTCTTTAAAAGTAGTATGTATATTTAGTCGAGCACAAAAGTAGCTTATCGTTATCTTGTGCATGCATAAAGAAACTACATATAATTTTCGAGTACAACCGTATAGACAAGGTTTTCATGACCTAGGAGGACTAGTGTTTAATAATAAAGAAATATAAATACCTGAGAGTAAACAGAAGACTACATTTATGGCTATGAAAAGTTCGCAATTTATTGAATGTAGCTCATACAGCACGTCTAAGACGAGTTTTTTACGTGATACTTAAGAGAAAAACATTCTAAATATCATTATATTAAAATGAGTACTTTGTCTCAGAATTATTTGTTTTGTCATGTTAATTGCTTACAAATTGGGTATGTCAAGTAAACCTTTGATTCAAAAATTTTATCATTTATATAGTGAAGTAATAGAAGTAGTTATAAGAAAATATGCTCCCTGATCAGATAATATTACTTCTATTTTTAACATTCTTGTACCCAGTTTTTGTCTAGAATAAATATAGAAATAAATATCATTCAAATATAGTCTTTCAATAGATGAATGAATAGAAATTTTATCGTTTGATCTTATTTCTATGTAATTTATCAATTTTTCTTTGATTCCATCATCTGTTTGTTTCTAAAATCATACCGCTAGACAAATTTTGTAGTTTTACAATTAGGATCTTGTGAATTAAAGATATCAGGCATAGTAATTTTATTTCCGTCTTTTTTTTTTCTTAAGAAAACTAATATCCCATTTATTAGAACTAATCGACAGTAAATTCATTTACCTACACATTAGATAAATTTTTCTTCTTTCAAAGCAAATGCAAAATATTCTAAGTTTTCAATTTTCATTCCCGTTATATAATTATATTTAATAGAAGTGCAAATTTAATAAACGATAAGTTCAATAATTTTTTTTCATTATAATCATAAACGCAGACTACAAGAAAAGAAATAGAGATAATTGAATACAAAAATACCGAACTATCACGATTATGATAAGTTTAAAATTATTAGCTTTACTATTTATTCTCACATCTTTTATTATAATGATCTAGGGGTTAACACACAACAGTCAAGGAGTAACTAAGTTTATAATATGAATAATTATTACACATGACCTGGAACTAGAAGACAATCTTTTGCGATTTGATAAAATAATAAATTTCAGTCTAGCACATTTCTCTCTTTCTTTGAATAATAGTAAGTATACGATAAAGTATAAATAAAGCAGTCCCGTTCAAAAAAACATTATTTATGGTCGAAGTAATTTATTTAAAAAAAACTATTCCATTCTTTGAGAACTTTTATGCATATTTAACTCTATTATTTTCAAATAATATCTATATAATTTTTTTTATAAGGAAAATAATATACGTCAGACAATATTGTTGCATATCTAATTGCTTTTTTTTTTTTCAATTAGACTTTCTGACAGTCATAAGATAAGAACAAGAGTATTTGATTGTAATTGCATACTAGACATAGTTTGTTTGGTTAAGAGAGAAGTAGACGGACTTC